ATATATAAATTAGAAGCAAATAAATAAGATTAAAGGGTACATTGAAATCAGTGGGCGATGCCACTCCAATAGCCACTCACTACTGTTACGCCGTAGAAGGTCTGTATATACTGTACACGTAGGTGTGCTGTGAGTACGGGTACCGAGGTGCTGGAAGAGAAGCCGACCAGGAGGAGACCGATGGTTGAGGAACCTGATTGCATAAGTGTCCCATGTGCAGCCTGGGTATTCCAGTTACCATTGCCTCAAAGTTCATTATTGCTAATTATCTTCCAATGTGAATGTGACAGCCCGGCTAGGGGTGGCCTCCGACCCCGGCAGGCAGCAGGATGAAGACCCGGAGAAGAAGACACCAAGGATGAGATCCGACGGGGCAAACGTGGGTGTCCAGGTCTCCCCGATACTCTCTGGCTGAGCGGATCCCATCTTTGGGGTCCTGCCACCCCCATCCTCTCCTTCGCTGCTGGGGACCGGTGGTACCTGCCTGCGCGGCCGGTGCCTGAGCACTGCTCGCTCCTGGTCCTCGCCGATCATGGGCAGGGCTTGTTCTGCTTCTCCCGGCGGGTCCAGGGCCGCAGCAAGGTGATGCAGGAGGGGTGAACGGGGGACGTGGGGTTCCCCCCGCCCTGTGCTCAGGCTGCTTTAGCGATGACCTGAAACAGCTCCTGGGAGAGACCAGCCAGGAGGGAGGAGAAGGAACAGAGCCGGGCACTGGGCTGCGGGTGCCCTCCAGGATCAGCCTGTGACCCCCCGTGCCAGGGCACTGCAGACCAGACCTGTCTGGCTTAACGGGGAAGACGCAGGGATGGGAGACCCAGCACCAAGGTTGCTTCCCGGGGAGGCTCCATCCCAGCGGCACCAGGACATCTCTTCCCTCCCCTCCCGCCTGGCATCAGGCAGAGCTCAGCAGGGAGATGCTGTGGGCAAACTCGGCACCGAGGTCCAGGCTCCTGCCAGCCCCTGGGCTGCAGCGATACCGAGCAGGAGAGAGACGGTACGTGGACCCCGGAGCATCGCTGGTCTACAGACCTCTTCGCTCTGCATCTGCCAGGCGTTCCAGACCTCAGCGGGGCCGTTCCCCCCCCTTCGGATGTGGTTGCAGGAAAACCAAACCAAACCTCACTCAAATCACTCTCACAAAGCATCATGTTAAAGACAGTCCTAAGCCTTGACTACCTTGACTAGACAAGGCAGACTGTGAGGAATCTGCTCAAACACCTCTTTTTAAAAAAAAAAAAAAAACAACACAAATAAACACAAAACACCAACCAAACCTCAAAGAAAAACAAGTCACCAGCTGAAATATCCTAATTGGTTACTGGGATGACTGGGCACTGCGGGAACCACCAAGAGCCTCCAGGATCAAGTGCTATGGCCCCTGGAGAGTTTTCTGAGCAGGACGCAAGGTTGTTTGTGTCCATTGTTGAAGGAACCTGAACCAGGAGCAGATTTTTTTTAAAAAAATAATTCCATAAAGTCCACATTTTGGGGGGGGGGGGGGGGTGGAAAATAATGTCAAAGAAAAGGGCTCACACAAATGCACGGCATCCCCACAATGCGAGCATCTTTGGAAGTTGACATCTCAGCCGGTAAAGCTGAGACGCTGAAAGATATAGGCAGCAACTCCTGATAGCAATAAATACGCTAGGCTAAAAACAAACCAGATTCACGTGTCCTCGTTCCTAATTAGTTGCTGAAAAAGCCGTCATTAAAAAAAAAAGGATGCTATTTATTAGTGCGTAAAAAAATAGGTTTGGAATCCCTGTTTAGATTTGCTTTTCAAATTTCTGCATGTATTGACTCTGTGTATGTGTTTGCACTGTGAGCGGCCGGCGGGACGCTGCCAGCGGGTCCTTGCTGTACTTCTTTTGCTGAGGCACGGGGCCGGCCAGCCCGGCGTGAGCAGAGCGGCTCAGAAGATGTCGGGGCACGTACTCCAGTCCTGCTTGTCCTTGGCCTCCCAGTAGCCGCCCTTATAGACGCAGATCAGCTCCCCCGTCACGGCATCCACCTTGCGCTCGAACCACAGCGGGATGTACCCTTCGTAGTCCTTGCCTGCCCGGGGAGAAACACCGGGTAAGGGCTGCTTTTCCCACCCGAAAGGCAGCGAGACCCACGCTCCCCCCAGCCACCCACACAGCTGCAGGGTCCTTCCTTCACCCCCCAAACAAGCGGGGATTCTTCGCCGCATCCCCCTCCTGCCGC